CACCTAACGCTCCCCCCCCCAACCCGCTATCCATTAATAAGTTATACACACTAAGTCACTTTAGTCTTGAAGCAAATATTACTTGCTCATCCTGAACTACAGATACACATGAAGCAATGTCCCCAGGTGGACGTTGGATGGATGGATGCACGGACGGACAGAGGAAGGTGAGATAGAAATCAAGTAAGGATCACTTGATACAAATTGAGTGAGTGAGTGAGCGAGGATGGGACGACAGCCTGATAAGCAGGTAACAGAATAAAGGTGTCGGTGCAAACATTTGTGCTGGTGGAGAGGGGAGAGGAGGAAGTAAATTAGGAAAGCGATAGATGAATAGATAAGGAAGCCAAGGAAGCCGGGTGATCTATGGAAAGATAGAGCGCGTGAGAAAAGCAGACCGGGGGCTGCCGGACTGACTGACTGACTGACTGACTGAGGGACAAAGGAACATTTGTCCTAAAAACGTAGACAAACATGTTCTGATTTATAAACAGACAATAGAATNATAGAATGTGAGGCTTCGTGTTTATTTAATTAGTCAGTCAGCGAGTGTGTTCTTCCGGTTTCACAAATCCCATTAGCCACGATGCTTTTTCGCGTGCGCGCGCTCTTCCTCTCTCTCTCTCTTATAGACATTCACATACACTATCCCTGTTGGACACGTAGCTGGCCTGGAGATAGAGAAAACCGAATTCCGGACAAATGTGCGACCGAGTCGGTTTGTGCTTATGAGACCGATTGGCTAACTGATGGTGGGATACGCACACGCACACACAAACACTCTTTTCATCAATTATGCGAGCATTGACTCAATCCAGCGTCCCCTTGGGTTCTCTTCAAGATCTAATCGAGGATTGTATTACTGGAATAAAAGATTAATTTGCCCCGATTCACAAGCAGCTCAATCTGTCATAATTGCCCGGATGTCTTGATGTGCACAGGGGAATGTTTACGGTCTCATGAGGACATCAGATCAATCATAGTTCAGTACCATCGCTGTTTCGACCTTCTCTCGTCAGCATCACAGAGTCGGATATTCCGGTAATAATTAATTTGCCTGAATAAAGATAATAAGAATAATACAGTTCCGTGTGAAAAATATGGTACAAGGCCTAAATAATCAATACTCCATTTCAGTCTAATCAAAATACAGTTCAAGATGTCATGTAGCATACGTTTAACTACTGGACAAGTTGACAGATCAAACCAAACTACTTGTCGAAGAAAGCATTGCCGCCGACCCTTCAGCGATTTGGACGCAACGGCGATCTCCATCACATGAACGGTGATACCACAAGAAAGCTAGTTTGCACGATTTATGTCAGGACAAATGTTAACCTGCATCTCAACCGGCACAGTGATTAGTGATGTTTGGATTTCACCTCACAATTGCCTGGTCACGATGTCACCATGACCCAAACCATTTGTCCACCGATAAGTCAACATCCAGCAATGAGATTGATAGGAGACGTGTACACAACTGGGGAAAAAATGCAAAATCGATGAAAATGAAGTTGAAAAATGATAAATTTGTCATGTGACTGAGGCGTGAGCTGAAAAGCTAGGAAGCAGTGAACAGCTGTTTCGACCTGGTTAGGTCTCTTCAACAGTGAGCGAATCCATCGACTCAAGTGGGGGATCGAACGCAGGAACTCACAGAAAGAACGCAAGCATACTACTCAATAGACCACCGGGAAATTTAATAAACTGTTTCGCATTTCGAAAATACACAATCTAACACAACTTATCTTTGGGAGTTTGCTGCGGGCATCGCAACTCGCTGATCTTATCACTAACCATCACTGTTATGAGTCGACTGGAAAACTTCAAAACCTGATTACATGTTATATGAGAAAAGAAGGTGGATCTGGTTGAAACAGTTTTGAGTGCACAATTAATTGCGTGCAGCGTTCGTTGAGCAGTAGTTCGCTAAAGTTTCCTCTTTGTGGATAGGTAAAACTCGCGTTTGGTGTAGCGACAATATAGCGTTCAATTCTTCCATCAACAAACACGTTTCACATTTCACGTGTGCTTATTCCTGATATGAAGCAATAAAAACTTGGAAGTCATACAGGCGCAAAACTACGCTCGTAAATGGTCCATCTGTGCCATACAGTAGTGCATAACTTTGATTGTTCAAAATTGGACGACTTATCAACCGGCTGAGGAAACCAGATGTTGTCAAAACTATTTAATTTAACTTCAAATTAGAGGTTATCCAATTTGTCTTGCCCTTTTCTTAGTAGTTGGCCTCTGTCCTTGTGTGGAGTAGTTTTTAACTACTTAAGTATGTTGAACGTGTTATTTCTGGGTTCTCTTAAATCGGATACATGTTGTCTTACCCGTTATCACACAGCTCACCCAACCGCCTTCTCTTCACGATTTCTACGAACCTACCTACATGTGTTGCTATTCGAAGTTCATTTCGTGAGGGTAATTTTCACCCCGATTTCCTTGATTTTCTAAAAACCTTCTATTCATTAACTTGTGTAAGTTCCGCAATCGGTGAGCAGCAATTGATTATTTGATGTTATGCTCAATCCATACTTCACGTGATCTGAGCATATCAGTAACCAGTTGCAAAAGTTACAACGCGCGTCATTCATACCTTCCGTCTAAAGTTCTTTTGTATGCGCTTAAGCTTCAGCGAATAACTTTTACCTGCCTGCATTTCCTTTGGCGCTTTGCTTCGCTCCGTGCAGTCTCAGTAATCTTTCCTGGTTTGTTCAAAACAGACTTGTGTCATATCTCAGTTGCAAACATTTACATAGTGCTCTGGGGTGCTGGGTGGCAGTTTGAATCAAAGCGTTACAATCAACCTTTTAAATGTGGACCCCTATCACTCGTTTCTAACTCGGTCTTTTTCTCTTCATATATCCTGCAAAATGGGCTTTCTTTTCAAACGGTTGGCTCAAGGGATTCATATGACGTGATACATTGTTGTCGAGGTCTCTGTGTCTACGTCTATTTTATCTTCAATCTTCAATTGCGTCATCCGGTTTTAGTTGAGCTCAATTCTTCAGTAGATGCACTAAAATGACCGGTTTTGTTCAGCAAGGACAGAGTTAATGATAGACTACCGTCTGACGTCACACACACAGTCACATTGGGCTAGCATCAAAGTTTATCCCCGAACATGCCGATGCACCCAGGTATGCAGAAGTCCACGCGTATCCTGAACCGGTTTTTGGGGATTAATCTCCCAGGTGAAAACGGTAAGCAACAGATTTTGACGATGAAAGTGGTACCAAATAGCGTTGAACGTTGACCTGTTGAGTGTATGTGTGTGTGAGAGAGTCGGAGTGGGCATAGGATCGGTCATTTGGCCGAGGCCAGACTGTATTTACTTTTTTCGCGGTCCAAATGTTTACCGGTCGTGGAGTATTCTAAGTACGAGTAGATGAATACTGATACAGCGATCGTTTTGTACTTAGTCCCGGATCCGGGTGACTTTCGTAACGGGACTCTTTGTTCGATCGAACACGATCAATCGTTTCAACGAACCGCATTTATTGCGAGAAAATGCCGCTCGTGGAAGTGTTCAAGATAACTAAAGGCTTTCGAGTAGTTAATGAAATTAGTTTCCAATGGTTGCGCCACTCCCCGATGTTTCCTCGTTGGTCAACATTGCAAAGTTTAAACCCTGTTTTGTGCATTTATTTATCCCGATTTTGTTTAATATTTTTTTGTTTTGTTTTCACAATGTTTGATGCATCAGATAGGTTAACTGATGATCTAACTCATGATGAAGAACAAAATCATGAAAGCTGCATTCACTCCGTCACGGCATCCCAAATCTAAAATCTTGTCCGCATGCAGATCTATACACAAAAACAGAGTGAATATTGAGGGTAGTGGTGAGACAGGGGAACGACTATAAAGAGTTTGCAAAAGGGAGAGCGTTCATCTGCGAATAAAATCAGAAATGAATTAGAACGGATCGAGAACTGTAAAGTAATATGGAAAATTGATCATTCGAGTCAGGCAAAAGCGTAATCATTTCGTAACGCACCGGTCTCTTAGGTAATCGGCAGAACGCCGAGTGGAAATCATGCTTGCGTTCTACCCACTGCAGGTCGAAACAGCTGTCCATTGCTTCCGAGCTTTTCAGTTCACGCTTCGTTTGCGATATATACACGACGAATTCACCTTTGAAATTGAATCAAATCCTTCAGTGCTCACTTGAAATCACCTATCTGCCCTCGACACTCACAAGATAAAATAGTGATGGCTGGGTCGGATCAATCAGTAAACGACGGCAGTCAATATGTCCGCCTGAAGGTCACTTATTCGAAATCCACGATTGTCACCCAACTCCCTCGATGACTGGAGACCATCTCACTTGAATCAACAAGCACAAGAGTGAGATCATCATCATCATCATCATCATCATCATCATCATCATCATCATCATCATCGTTCATAACAATTAGAACCCCGGGGTTTTGAATCAGCCACTTGTGGGAATAGGGTCGTTCTTTGCTTGTGGTCAATAAGCACACTTTCTGCATGGGCTAGAAGTCGATTCGTGCTTTTGGTTACAGAGCAAAGGAACACCTGTGCAATGTCATTTATTAACCGATCATCGCACACAACTGATAATGCCAAACTGTGATTGCAACGCATACGCACAACTTAAAGCTGTGGACCCCGCAGGGCAGCATAAGAAATCAGTACTTACAATAATCTTTGCTAATCAGAATCGGGATCAAAGATGTAGCGAGTGCGACACACACAAAAAACATCAATCGATTCACTATGACCTAAAATAAATCAATGCCGGTTACGGACCGAACAAAAGCTGGAAGAGTATTGTTCAATAGAGGTCCATGTGACTGGACAATCAATAAGACTGAGCAAAAATAACAAAGCCAAAATACAACCAATGTACGTGAAGTAAAAGCGAGAGAGTATTGTACATTTAGAGAATAGAACCCTGACAGTAATCTCACAAACACAGACCTAATTGTCTGTGAATTCGAATGATCTGAAACACAAAAAGTATTTATCTACCCGTCTCACACAACCAATTGCTCTAAGCTCCAGTTGTTCCCGTGATGCGTAACCGTTGCTTACACCGATTCATAATGATTTGTGTGGTTGTTTTTACCGTTCAAAAGTTTGTTCTATTTGTCCGCTTAACCACATCCTTTTGCGTCTGTCATCGTAGTTCACATTCAATGTGCCATGAAAGCAGTTTTTGACTGAGACCCCAGGAGAAACGTTTGCAAAAATTTTTTTCAATACGATGTCTCNCCCCCCCCCCCGCCCGGCCGTGGTAGATTGAAAATCTTCTGAAATGAATAAATTTTCAAATTCATTGCATAATTCTACTGTCCACATGCTCAGAGCCCTTTGATAACTGGAGTTGCAGTCTTCACCGAAACCCTTTGGCATTCAACCAGAACTTTGGCCATTCCACATATTCCATACACAAGCACACATACTACTCTCAACAAGTTTCCCAGCTCACCTCCTTGTTCTCACTCATGAGCATTCGCAGTCTCTTTCCTTCCCCCCCTTCGGCTAAGGGATCGGAATATGCAATCCAGGCCTCGAAAACTTCCATTTTGTGAAAGCTCGTAAATTTTACCAAGGACCGGGAATGCGGTACTTATCAACTGTCTCAAGGGAATATTACTGAAATGTCGCAGTTCTGTTACATATACTTAGTTGACGCAACAACCTTTCATTATATGAGATTGAAAGCTGCCGGTGAATTGGAAGTAGTCATCGCAACCACCATCATCACCAGAGCAGATATCAATAGTGATCTAACACAGTGAAAAACAACAACATACTCCACATGCGGAATACCTAAACATCAAGTGACAGTGTATGGTGAGGGATGCACAAAGATTCCATAAAACTGCTGGATGATCCCCATCGCACTCCAGAGTCACACACTTTTGTGTGTTGCTGAAATTTTTCAAAATGTTTTGGTTCATGAAACGTTCTCCATATTTGGACTGCATGATCCCAACCTTGTTGGCTTACAAATCAAATCTCTCTGTGATTGATGATGCTTCTCAGATAATGCATCCCACTGCATCCGTTTGATGTCCAGGTACTATTCCTAGTTTGAATTTGTTGCTCACATAAACGCCTCTGATTCTGTT